TTGTTCACAGTATGGAAGATGGGGAAACAACTGAAATAAAAGCAGATCACTCATTTAGAATAGCGTTATAAAGCCTTTAAAGTGAGGTTTGTGATAAAATCTTCATGAGTTTATGCCTAGGGACTTGAATGGAAAATGTCACCATGAGACCTTTGTAAACTGAAATAAAGAGCAGACCTGGTCTGGGAAGGGATTGACAGAGAGAGCTCCCTTAAATGTCAACAGTGCTTTCTCTGGAGCGGATTGTCTGGGATTTTAGTTCACATGTGGGAGTAGGGGGTGGGGGTTCTCCTATAAAGATCATATTGGCTTAGTTTGAGGACAACAAAGCATTTTTGAGGAGAAGAATTAATAGCCTAAGTTCTGCCCTCTGGCCCGAGGTGGCTATGTACTGGGTACGTACTGGGGAGACCGGAAGCCCTCTCTGTGGAGGAGCAGGACAGGGCTGGGCGGAGGATGGGCTGAACAGGTGGCTGCCTCCTGCCAGCCCTGTACCCTCAGCCTCTAACTCAGCCATCTTTGCACGGTCTGGTCCACTTTTCAGTTGAGGAAACTGAGGCTGAGCAATTGAGTAATCTGCTCACACCCACTCCTGATGTGTGGAGGAGCCACGGGTCAGTGCTTTTGGACCTTTCACCTGGAAATAGCATGCCTATTAATTTTCTAACTCACTCTTGTTTCTCCTTTCCCGAGTCCAGAACATTGTTTCTGGCTGTGTTGGGCCCTCTGACAAGCAGTGGCTCTGTAACTTGAGGCCTTTGCTCTAGTGACTGAACTGAGTATGACAGAGCAGCTCCATGCTTCCCTCCCAAAGGATGATGCTGGTGGGACCTGGAGGATTTCTGCCTAAGACTCTCTGGGGATTTGCAGCACAGGGGAAGCAGGAGGACCCAAGGGAGCACTCTAGACAGCCAGTTTGGATATAGAGATGCCATGGAGCTTTGTCAGGGAGGCAAGTGGAGTTGGGTGGAGGAGGGTCTTCCACATGCACCCCAGAAGGTGTTAGTGGGAAGGGGACCAGGTGTCGTGGACCAGCCACGAGGAGCACAGGAAGAGGTGACTAGGATCTCGGCTGGCGGTCCCCAAGGAGGGAAGGACAGGATGCAGGGGGACCAGCCCAGGGATGTACATGCAGAAAAGCAATTCCTCCCTAAACCCAAGAATGAGTTTGATGCTCCGAGAGGCCCTGGGATGATTCTGCACCAGCCTGGATGGAGTGTTTTGTGACTCTAGGGACCTACTGGGAACCAGCCTCAGGCATCCAGCCCCCTCCTTCTGAGCAGCCCCAGAGGTCAGAGGAGGATGGGGAGCAGTGTAAGTTAACAAGGCTCCATGCTGACTACCGGGAGCCCTTGACAGCCAGCCAGCACTGGGGCCCATGGACAGGGACTAGTCCATGTTCCATTTTGCTAGGATTCTGTGCCCAGGGACAGAGACACTCAGCCTGCAGACATCTTGACCGCTTGTACTCTTGTCTCAAGTCCAGTTCACACATGACCTTCAGGAACACACCCACTGGAGAGAGTCAAGGGTGTTTCATTTCCAGGAGCCAGGAGAGAGGCTCCTTGTGCTAGAGGAAACCGGAGGCACTGACAGAGAAATAAACATTGAGGCAGTTGTCTTTTGGGGTCACGACAGCGATCAGGAAGATGTGTTTTTTCATTTCCTCAAGTTCCACTGCTCATGTGTTGCACAGCTGTGATTTATTTTCAGAGCACACTTTGGAATTTGACAGGCCCTCATGATGGCCTGCCTCACAGCCGAAACTGTTTACCATTTGGTAGATGATAGAGCGAGTGACAGTTTATGCTACAGAAGACTGTGTCCATGAAGAAGACAGACAAGTGTCAACCCTGGGCAGCAGAGACTTCACCCTCCTGGCCACCTCTGCACACCCACCAGGGTGGCACGTCCTCTGGGAGCTGGTGTGACTGTTGGCCTGGTGCTGCAGGTCCTCCGGCCCTGGTCCTCATGCACAGGGAAGGCTGTGCAAACCAAGTACTTAAGACCCCAAGCGGACGGGTTGGTGTGGGCCATTCACAGCAAGCAGCATGCGTGGAAGCATGGGCATGGGATCCAGCTCCACCAGGAGCTTTGATTTCTGTCTAATGCAGAGGAGCCGGTCCGGTTTCCTTCCCACACCTACTGTGCTCATTGTTATTCATAGCACTCATCCTCATTTGAAAATCTGTTCTGCTCTCACCCACTAGACCTAATGGCTCTGCCTGCTCAATTCTTTGTGTTCAGCTTAGTACCTTGCCTGTCTATGTGCTGGGTAAATATCTGTGCTGGCTGAGGTGGCAGCTGGATAGAGGAAGGGTAGCACAGGGCACAGGGGAGTGGAAGAGGGTTCCAGCAGCGGAGGGGGAGCAGGGGAGGTAGAAGAGAGAGGGACACTTGAGGGGTGGTGTGGGCTCAGGACGTGGGTTTGCTGGGACTCCTGGGGGAGAGCATGAGAGATTTCCAGGGATGATGTGACACAATTGTACTTACACTGGACACATGGATTGCACACCTGCTGTGTGCAAATCGCTTTCCTGTGTGCCATGTTGCTATGATCCTACCCGTGAGAGCTCACTGCTCCACAGAGAGAAGAAACCCTCAACCTCAAAGCCACAGCCATAGTCTTTTTAGTATTTTGGTAAAGACTTACGATAGCCATGCAGAGAGGATGGACCTAAGGCCAGGGAAGGTTGTGACTGGGAGGGGACTGAGGGGCGGTGCTGCGGGGTCAGTGCAGAGGCCATGGTATGCAGGAGGCAGGTTGGCAGGATGTTGAGGGCTGAGATGTGAGCGAGTCTTCATATACTCTCTGAAAAACCATTTGTAGAGCATTTCTGGGGAGCCATTCATAGCTTTGGTTCCTTTGTAATATTAACCCACTCCATGCTCTCAGCAGCCATCTGAAGGAAGTGTTGTTACCACCTTCACCTTGCAGAGATGGCTGGAGCAGAGAACTTGGTAACTTGCCGAGGGTCACACCTTAAGTGAGGGGAAAAGATGAGCTCATTCTCTTATCTGGTGGTTTCCAGCCTGAGTATCTGAGTAACGGGTGGTGCTGATGACTAAGGCAGGGATTGTGGACAAAGGGCAGCTTGGATGGGGACACATTTGTTTTGGAGCTATACACTCAATATCTGTGAGGTGTCCAGGAGACAGGCAGTTGCACAGGTGCTTCTGAGAGAACCTGGCTGTGTTGGAGAGAAACGGTTCACAGTGCTCCCCAGGCTGGTGAGGAAGACTGTAGGGCCACAGAGCTCAGTGCAAGATCTACTGAGTGGGGAGTGACTGGACACAGCTTAGACTCCAACAGAGACAAGCTGGGGTTTAGGATCCTGGGACAGGGTGAGAGCAGGGGGCTTGGGAGATGGCGCAGATTCCTGCTGAAGGTGGCTGGGGCAGTAGGATAGGCAAGGCGGGCGGATGTGGCAGGCAGGGTTGCCAAGCTGCGTTAGGCAGCTTTCCATGACTGTGACAGACACCTGAGACAGTGCACTCATATGAAGAGTGGGTTTACTTTGTTTTGCACCTGGGGAAGCTCCTGGCCAAGGTTGGGTGGATCACTGCTTTGGGCATCGGTGAGGGAACTGGATGATGATGGTGAGGATTAAGCGGCTGAGTGTGAGCCCAGAAGGCATTGAGTGGGGATTTCAAAGTTCGTGTGGGTGAAGCCCACACTGAGACCTCTCATGGGCCCCAGCTCTTAAATCTCCTCCTCCAGTAGCGCCACCTTGAGCACCAAGTCTGCAATGCCTGGGCGTGTCGAGGGCACTCTTGCAAACCCAAGCATTGCCTAAGCAGGGCTCTTTCCCAGCCTGGACTCTAGAAACTCAGGGCAGAAGCCAATGGCCGAGCCTGTTCAAAGGACCCAGAGGAGCCTCAGTGAAGTCTGGGCCAAAGGAATTTATCTTTGCTGGAAATGGGCATCTTGTCATCAACACACAGGATGAGGGGAGCCTAAGAGTCACCAAGGTCTCTGGGAAGAATGGGTGAGAAAAGGACCAGGATGCAGTCCTAGGGATGCTGACAGAGGGGAGGTGGAGGAAGTGAGGTTCTACGGAGGGATGAGGCGGAGAACCTGAACCAGGTCTGTCCACTGTGGCTGCCGCAGAGTCCCACGCTGTGGGCTGGAGCAGGTGAGTGAAAGCCGACCACAGCGGTGGCTGTGAGCAGAAGAGCCTGGAGCAGGCAGCGAAGAGGTCGGGGACTTCTGGTCAGTGAAGGTGTCGTCTGCTTTTCTTCCTAAGATGCATGTTCTGAGGTTCAGCTCTTCCTCCTGGGAAGGAGACTGCTCAGCAGGGTGGGAGAAGACAAGTGTGGAGAGAGCATTTGTACTTTCCTGTCAACAGTGACGCGCCTGCTGACGTTGAAGTGTTTGGAGAACAGTGGTGAGATCTAAGGAGAGAGACGGAGGTTGCTGATGAGGTGTGGATATAGCATCATCAGCATCTAGAGGCGACGCCAAAACCTTGGAGGGGGTAAAACTTCAAGGGGACAGATGTGAGGAAAGCAAAGAGAAGATGGCTGAGGACAGAGGCCCTGGGGACTGAACGGGCAGGCAGGGAAAGACTAGAAAGGTGCTGTTTAGGAAGCGAGGGGAAGAGAACATTTTAAAAAAGAAATCAGTATGTAATTGTGTGAAGTTCAGCAAAGCAGTCAGATAAAATAAAGGAAAAACACATTTCAGATTTAGCAGTGAGGAAGTCATTGGTGACCTTGGCAGACACTGTCTCCGCAGTGTGAGGGAGGAGGCAGCCCAGCCAGAGGCCCCAGGCGATGCGATCTGTCAGTGGAGATCACAGTGTAGACTGCTCTGGAGACAGCAGGCATTTTGAGGTGCATGGGTCTCGGTCTGGATCTGTGAATTTCCTGCCAAAGAATGCTGGGAATTCCAAGAAGCAAACAACTTGCACAGCCTCACTTGTCCTCACGGCCTTCCCATCCCTTCCCTCCGTCCTCTGTCTCAGCAAGGGTGACGCGTGTGTCCTTCTTTCTCTCAGGGCGGATCCTGGACCTGAAGACGGGGACAGTCAAGAAAGAGGGGCAGCAGTCGTCCATGAGGATGTGCATGGGCTCTCGGCGCTCTTTCATCTGCAGGATGAGGTCTGTTGAGGCTTAAAGGGCTGTGGCAGTGAGGTTCCTGCCTTCTGATCCGCCGTCAGGAGCCTGGTTCAGTTCTGCCAAGGTCACATGTGCCGCATTGGCTTCACGGCAGGGACTTAGTCTGCTTGACCTCAGCCATGACTAGAGAGACTCCCTTGTCTGTCGTAGAAGGCTTCCCTCTTGCCCTGCATCCCCCTGTGTCTGGGTTCCCACCCCTTTCTGCCTGTTCTCGGATTCACACCCCCTGCCCCCTATGTTTCTTAACTTCCTACTCCTCTCTCAAGGCCCTATTTGAATCCAACCTCTCCAAGATTCCACATCTCTCAACATGTTTGTGTCTAAACCACCAAATCCATACTTAGTCTTATGTTTCCTCTGACAACTCATCCATTTTAAATTGCTCTCTGTTTCATTATTGATTGATATTTTCAGTGTAAATATCTTGGCCTCATGAATCAGTGATAATGCCGTGAGGATAGAAGCTTTGATTTATGCTTCTTTGAGCCTGCCTGGCATCTAAGGGTGTTCTAACACCCTTAGCACCCTGAGCACCTGGACTGGCCATGCTGCAAGATCCTTCATGGTTCTCGCCTAGCCCAGTGTCAGCCTGCTCTCCTCCTCTGCCCTGCTGAGCTGCCAGCCCTGGGATGCTGCTCGCCCAGGCCCTCACGGTGCCGATACTTCCTGAGGCCGCCCCACCCCAGGAACCATGGCTTACCACTTGGCTCTCTGTTAGGTACTGGGAAGAGCAACAGGTGCTGTAAAGGAGCGTACATTTCCCCCACTTCACAGTAATCTTCTAAAGCAGTAAACATTTTAAATAAAACCTGCTCACCCATGAGTTGCCTCCCTTCTCAGTGATCCCCTCGCGTCCCCACCTCAGCTCCCCACTATCGCCTATGTTGAGTACAGAAAGAGAGCTGCCCAGCCTGGCCCCTGGGGCCTGCAGAAGATTCTGACTCCCTGTCATGAAAAGTGGCCCTTCAGGGCCCAAGGAGAGCTGCCCCTTCTTCTGGTCTGCTCCTCTCCAGAGGGCTTGAATGAAGTCCCCTTCACTGCCTGCCTCAGCACGTGAGGCAGCACTCAGGTGGCATCAATGTCTCCATTTAACTCAGGATGGAGTCCTGCAGGCAGCCTGCCTCCCACTCACCTGGCAGAGCCAGCTGGGCTCAGGGTCACCTAGACACAAAATGCCATCAGTTAATGTGTGAGTCACAGCAAGTCTGCCTACCATGCTCTGGCTACCAGAGTGAGTGCCCATTCTGGCTTGAGGGCATTCAGTAGGGGCTACAGTGATGAAAATCCCTAGGGTGAGGCAGCCTCCTCCTGAATCAGTTGTTTGGCTGCATCCTCGCGGACCCCATCTCTGATAGCAGCTTGTGTCACAACCCTGTCAACCAGATCCATGCCTGGGCCACTCGCTCTATGGAATATTCTCCACACTACTCTCAGAAGTGCCAGGCCCATTCTGCCTGGATTGACTGGGAGGTGAACAGTGCTGCTAACAGCTAAAAGCACACTAGTCTCCTCCAAATAGAACAACTTCATTTTAGCCAGACGCAGGCACTGCCTGCCAGAAACGGGCAGAGGGCCACACGGGTGCTCCTGGGCAGCAATGTCATGAACTCATCCTGCTGTGGAAACTTCACCAGCTCTGGCAGCTCTAGGGTCTCAGAGAATAATTAGACTCTGATCTTTGCTGCTTGGAAATTAAGACATCCAGGATTTTACTTGTGTGGTTGGAAATGGAAATGCACAGAAGAGTTAAGCAATATCACGCTTCCATTAGAGCCTGACCATGGCGAGAATCTTGCTCATTGGCCTGGGATACTGAGAGGATTATTGAGAAGGGAGACAGAGAAATCCCTGCCAGAGTGAGCAGGGTGAACCTCACATCCTTTGGCTCCCAGAGAGGGCACCTCAGGAAGAGCTGGTTCAGTACCTGTTGTCCCTTGTCCCATCCTCCTCTTGGCCACCAGCAGCTTCCAGTTATTCCTGGGGCCAGGACTCTGCAGAGAGGGAGCATTCTTGCAGATGGGATGCTAATGCCTGGGAATGATGCTGTGCATCATCTGGCTACATCTGCTTTGAGTTGGTGTCTTTGCTTAAGCCTGAGGAGACGCTGCCTCTGCCATCACCCTCTTCCCCTGTTTCCTGATAGTCACCCAGTTCCACTGAAATGATTTACAGGCCTGAGCATGGTTAGGCTTCTCTTAGTCAACCTGTAGTCTCCAGCTCTGGGCTAAGCCCTGAGACACCTGCTGTGTGCTTTGCAAGTGGGCACACACCAAAATTCAAAGGTGTGAAAACTTGCATCTGCGCTTGAGAAAGAAACTCGCCGTGGATGAATGTGTAAGCACCAGCCCAGGCCCATCTGCAGTAGTGCAGCATGTCTTGTAATCTTACCTGGGTCTTCACTCATTCTAATTCTTGTATCAATTCCAGGTGTGGAAATGCTCCTCTGGACCACCTGCCTCTAAACAGAATAACCACCATGAGGAAAAGGTTCAGGTCCGTGTCCTTTCTGATGCATGTTTGGGGACTGTGTGGTCCATGGCTCAAATTCCCTAAATGGAAGAGCAGCCCAACCTGAACAGAGGGCTCATTGTAGAGAAGGACCAAGGGGACTGTGCCTCAGGGTGGCAGCAGCCGCGGTGAGATGGGGATGTGCATGGAATTCACTTGAGACTTTCAGATCACATAGGAGAGGGAAAACAGGATGGTGAGAATTTGGGATTCAAAATCCCGAAGGCAAACAAGGGAACCCAGTAGCTTAGATGCCAAAAGGAGTCACCGAAGTCCTTGGTTCACCATGCAAAATGCAAGCAGCTTCACAGTGTCCTTTCTGTAGGAATGGCCTCGGCCCCGTGAAAGAAGGTGAAGCCCAGTATGCTGTGGTCCACTGCACAGGATACATCAAGGCCTGGCCTCCCGCAGGTAAGCAGCACTTGCCAGTGTATTTTTAGGGAATGGATGCTGTTTACAGCTGATCATGGCATCCTGTTATGTTTTTTGTAGAAGAGAAGGCAGGAAAATATCCTTATTTTCCTTTGTGGTTAGAACACAGTGCTCTTTGTCATCAGCAAAAGTTCTGCTACCTGAAACAAGGATTTCCAAAAAGAGCTAATGCTACAGAGGGGGTTGGAGCCTTAACAACCGATTTCAAGGTTCACACAGAGCCCTCTGTACAGTCGTAGTGACAATTTGAAATAATAGTTGTATCCAGGTCGTCAGAGAAATGCAAACTGAAACCACCATGAGGTACCTCTTACTTGAATGACTAAAATAACAGACACATAGTGTTGGTGGGGAGGTGGAGAAGTTGGAACCCTTGTATGTTGCTGATGGGAATGTGAAATGGTGCAACCACTTAGAAAAAGTCTGCAGTTGCTCAAAATGTCCAATGTAGGGTCACCATATTACTCAACAGATTCACTCCTAGGTATAAATCTACTGAAAGAATTGAAAAATCTGTGTTACAAGAACATTTGTATACATATGTTAGTAACAGCCTTATTCCTAATGGTCAAAAAGTAGAAACAACTAGAATGTGCACCAAAGAATGAGGGGGTAAATAAAATGTGATTTGCTCCTACGGCGGAAGATTATTCAGTCATACAAAAAATGAAGTAGTGACACGTTGTGTGATACTGATGACCTTTGAAAATATCATGTGAGGTGAAAGCAGCCAGATATAACAGGCCAAGTATTATATGAACTCATTTACAGGAATGCTCAGAACAGGCAAATCCATCGGTTTTCAGGTGCTGCAGGGGAGGAAGACAGAACTGACTGATAATGGGTACTGTGGATTTGGGGGAGTAACAGAATGTTCTAAAATTACACAGTGGCAACCCTTGTGCAACTCTGTAAATATACTAAATTGTACACAACAGTGTACACTTTAAAATGGTATCGTGGCTTGTGAATTATATCTTGAAAAGCTTTTATGCTAAGGATCAAATTCAAAGACTTTAGGGTACCAAGCACCTACTTCCCCCTGAGCTCCACCCCTAGCCCAGTGAACTTGTTCTTCTTTTTATTTTATTTTATTTTTATTTTTGGTACAGGGAATAGAACTCGGGACCTTGTGCTTGCGAGGCAGGCAGTGGAACCACTGAGCTAAGTCCCTGGGCCTAATGAACTTGTTCTTGAAGAGGAAGATGTATACAGTGTCCAGCCATCTGTGTGCACTTTACAGCCCAGAATGTAGTCTAACTCAGTGAGTGATCTATGTCAGTGTGAGATCAGTAGACATTCTGCTCTTGTTGGGTGGAGTATTCTCTACATATCAATTGTAGCACATTGATTAATAGTGCTCTTAGGAGAGACTGTATTCATATTGATGTTTTTCCTTTGGATACATCAGTTACTCAAAGAGCAGTATGGAAATCTTCAGTTACACTAGTGTAATTGGTCTGTATTTCCTTGTAGTTCTATTGATTTTGGCCTCACGTATTTAAATATTCTGTTGTGTGTGTGTTAGGGATTGTTACGTCTTCTTGGAGAATTGCTTCCTTCATGTAATGTCTCTCTTTGTCTCTGATACCTTTTCTCTGAATTCTGCTTTGCCTGAAATTAATATAACTTTTGCAGCTTTCTTTTGATTAGTATTGACCTGTCTTTATATTTAAGGTGGATTTTTCATAAATAATAAAAGAATTGGATTCAATTTTTTCATTCACTCTGTTAGTGTCTTTTAATTGGTGCATTTCAAACATTCACTTTTAGCATGATTATTTATATAGCTTGGTAATAGCTACCATGCTTTCTACTCATTGCTCATTTTCTTTGTTTCTTTCCCTCTCTTTCTCTGCCTATTCTTGTTTTCATTAAATATTTATATGATTCTGTTTTCTTTTCTGTCTTAGCATATCAACTATATTTCTTTAAAATATGTTTAATTTCTTGTCCAAAATTTCCACTACACATTAAACTAATATAAATTCATGTTCAAATAATAATAATAGTACTTCGTAGGTAGCACAGTTACCATATAACAAAGCATTTCTTCTTCCTCATTCCCATCCCTTATAATATCACATTTATTCATTTCACTTATCCACATACTGTCATTGCCCAATGCATTGCTACTATTATTATCCTAAACAGACAGGAATTAAGTAGTTAGGAATAGCAAACATGAAAGATTTTATTTTACCTTCATTTGTTCCTTCTCTGATGTTCTTCCTTTCTTTATGTAGAAGTGAGTTTCTGATCTCTGTCATTCTTTCTTCCTGAAGAGCTTAGTTTACTGTCTTTTGCAGGGCAGCTGTACTGGCTATGAGTTCACTGTTTCTGTTTTTGTGGAGTGTTTATTTGTTCTTTCCGTTTGAAAGATTATTTCACTGGATACAGAATTTTATATGGGCAGTTACCTTTTTTCCCCCAAATTTTAAATATTTTACTGCATCCTTCTTTGTTTCAGATGAGCAGTCCACATAATTTTCATGTACATTCTTCTGTAGGGATTGTGAAATGTTTTTTTCTGGCTTCTTTCAGAATTTTCTGTTTCTGTTTGGTTTTCTGCAGTTTGGATATGATATCTCTAAGTATAGAATTGTTGTAATGCTGTTTCTTTAAGCTTCTTCAATCTGTGGTTTGATGTCTGTCATTAATTTTAGGAAATTATTAGACATTATTTATCCATATAATAGTTCTTCTTCCCCATTCTAGCTATCTTAACTGAATGTTTCAATTACACATACACTTCATACATATTACACTTTTTAAAATTATACCATGGTTTATGGATTTTTTTCCTGGGTTTTTCCCTTTTACATTTTGGTGTGGGGACTTTCAATGTGACACATCTACAAGCTTGTGGATCTCTTCCTTGATCAGGTTCACTCTTCAGTCTTCATTCAGTGTTCATTTATGCCAGTGTTTTTGATTTCTAGCATTTCCTTTTGATAGTAGTGAGTTGGATCTCCGATTTGACGGCAAATTACCCAGCATGCCTCTTAGGCTAGCACAAGGACATGTCAGGTACACAACTTCTGTGCTGGGATGCTCGATACTGCCTTGGCCTAGCAGTGAGGGTATGGCCTCACTGTCCCTTAGAAGACTGTACGTTTGACCTGTGTGCCAGCCCTTTCTTTCATAGCATGGCTGATTCAGAAACAAAATAATTTCTAGATACTTTTTTAAAAAATTTTTTACTTAGTTTTCTATATCCACAAATATGTAAGTAGTTGTTTAATACACATTAGAATGGAACATTCCAAAGTCCAAAACTTTATGTGTATACAGACATATATATATATATATATATATATTATATATTAGTTTAATAAATATGCATACACATTTAAATGTTTTTAAACTTGAACTATGTTATGTTTATAAAAGTAGCATTTATGTATACAACAAAATGCCAAAGACCAAATAATTTATAAAGAAAATAAATTTATTTCTCAGAGTTCTGGGGGCTGCAAAGTCCCAGGCCAAGGGGCTGTATCTGGGGAGGGCCTTCTTGCTGTGTCATAATACAGTGGAAGCATCACATGATGAGAAAGCAGGAGCTCAGGTCCCCTTCTTCTTATACGGCCACCAATCCTATCATGGTGCCACCCTCATAACTTCATCTAAGCAATTACTTCCCAAAGGTCCTGCCTCTGAATACCATCAGCACATGAGTTTGGAGATTTACATTCCCAACACATGAACTTCAGGAGGTACATTCCGACCATGCCAACCATAAGGCACAGAAGTACCTGGGTGCCTTTGCCAAAGGCCTTGGCTGGACTTAAGGACAGAAACTCAAAAGTCATTGATGCTTTTATGGTGTTTGAAGATTGGATCTCAATTCTGTAGAATTCTGTAGAAATATTCTTGACTGTGCTATAGAACTGATGAGCCCCCAGAAGTATGAAGAGTTCTTAGAAGCCGGTGTGATGTGGTAACTGGGTGGGATTCATTCATGCCCCGGGCTCCCTGTAGGTGGCATGGATACTCCAGTTGGATGTCCAGGGAACCTGTCAGGTTTTGAAATACTCTAGAGACCAGATTTGTCTTAGAAGGTTTTTTGGTGAAAGGAAAATAACAACAAAGGCATGTGAACCCTTGCAGGGAGATTTCCCATAAAGGCTTGGTTCTTCAAGCACACATGATGACCTGCCTTGTGGTAGTTGTTGAGTAGGCTTTGAGGACTGCAGGACACAGGACTTCTTCAGACGGGTGAGGAGACCAATTTGTGCATGGGTGACTATGGGGTGGAGTGTGATTGGACAGGTAGCCTGACTTCTGGAAGGAAATACATCCTAATGTTGGGTCCTAATGCTGCTCATCATAATGCCGCCAAATTTTACCTTCCAGCCCATATATCAAGGCAACCATCTCATTGTTTTTGAAGCTTTCTTTATTTGAATTAACCATTCTCATTCTGCCAGACATCTTCCTGTTTCGGCCTCAAAGTCATCTCTTTTTTATACTTTGCTTGAGCCTCAGGCCTATGATCTCACACAAGAAATGCCTTGATCATGGTAAAATTCACTCAGTGTTATGGGCGAGGGGTAGAGAGGAGGCCGAGGCCTGAGGTGCAAGCAGGAAGCTCTCCTGGGTTGCATGGATTGAATGACAGCCAGCATTGGCATCTGTAGGAACAGTAGGATGGGTTGTGGATTAAATCTTCAGTGATGGCCTTGAATCTTTGCCACATGAGAAATGTTTGAAGGAGCTGGGAGTGTTTAACTTTGAGAAAGTGAGACATGATTTCTGCCCTCAAGTATTTGAGGGGGTGTCATGTGAAGCAGAAAATAATCACAGGGTAGTTCCAGGAGGCACAACTTGAACTAATAGCGGAAAGTTGCCAGAAGGCAGATTTTAACTCAGTAGAGGAACCTGAGCAAAAGGTATAATTAGGATGTTAAAAAATGTATTATAGACACACTAAGAATATGAGGGAAAATTCAGTCTAACTGTTGAATGGAAATGTA